ACCTTGCCTAAGAGAATTGCCGGGACGACAATTTTTCGAAGAGGGGGAGCAGTGTTGTGTCCGAGCCACAAGGTTTGTGGCGGCGTCCGTTGTCCGTGAGCCTTAGGCATCTGATTTTGACAACTGAACAAAGATTGTCTGGATGACGGAAAATCGATAAGAAGAAAACAACAACAGCTGACAGAGGGTCTCCGGCAAGCTGTCATTGTAGACAGACGCGAGAATTGTAGATCAGAGAATTATTCTTGTTTAAAGCTTGAGTGAGCTGCGCTGTAAATAGTAAAGCTTGTTATTCTTACGCGAGTGTTTTCATTTACCTGAGTGCAAGCGCAAGTGCGAGAGTGAGCGTAATAATATATACACTAATATATATATATATATATAATATGCAACATATGTAGCATATTTATATATGTCAAATGGAGTTATATGTTATATTAATATAAAAAATATACTGTAATGTATAAAAATGTTATGTATAATAATTTTCATTTATAAATTACATGTAACATTGTGTTTACTTACCAAGTTATGGGCATAAATATTCATTTTCATCTACATAAATATATGGATAATTACAAAAACAGATGTGTTCCTCTAATTTCTCTTTTTCAATTACATTTTTGCAGTTTTATGCAAGCAAGTTGCAAGTTTTCGACAAGAAACGGAATAATTCTGCGACGGAAACACCCTACCTCCGTTTCATCGCCAGCCAATTGGAACGTCCGACAAGCTCGTCGTACGATACATGTAATATCAGCCTCAGATGAAATGAATAATTCAGCATGGAAATGGAAATGAGGAAACACAGGACAGACAAGAATCATCCGATGTAAGTCTTATGTAAGTCTCCAGGGGACATCCGAAAAAAGTAGAGATAAATAAACATGTTTATATGTTTTTAAAACAATACAAATTTAATTAAGAGAATTAAGCTGCATTACGATAGTTACGATTCTGTTATACATTTATTATTTATTATTTATTTATTCATAAATTTTATCTTCTCCATCTCCTTCTTCCTCTTCCATGTCCTTATCGACGATTTGGAAATTTCAAAATTATTAAATTAACAAAAGTTAGGGTACTATTATTGTAATATATTATTGATAGTAAATAAAGTAAAAAAGTCTAATACTATGTTTTCTTTCGACGCATAGTTAGCGAGATATCGTAAGTTAAATGTTGAAAAAGTTACCAAGTTTTCCTTAAATATCTCAAAAAATATTAAGCAAATAAAAAAATGTTTCAGACGAAAGTTGTTCAAATTAATTGATAGAAAAAGGTGATATAATAAAAGATTGGGATTTCTATTTAAGAAAATTGATGATCAATGAATATCTCGAAAGTGGCGCCAACTATAAACAAAATGCTATCGCTATCTTATGTCCCCCTTTAAGACAAACAACTTTTGTCTGAAATATTTTTCGATTTAACGCAGTGTTTTTGAGATATTTGAGTGGGTCCTTTAAAATGGGACACCCCGTATACAACAAGAGACTCTCAATAGAGTCTCCTGGAAAGTTTTTATTTAATGACGGCAGAAGCGAAAGATCGTATGTCAAAAATTGTTTTTGTTATATACCCATACAGCACAGAAAGATTGCAGCAACATTGCAGCAATCTTGTTTTGCAAGATTGTATCATTGCAACATCATTGCAAAATGTTGCTGCAATGGTGCAGCAATATTGCAGCAACATTAAAATGTTCGCTTGCAGTAATATTGCGTTGCAATGATGCAGCAATATTGCATTATAATAGCGCAGCAATATTGTACTGCAATACTGCAGCAATAATACAGCAACTTTCTGCTGTAATATTGCAATAACAATGTTATATAGTATATATGCAATAAAGTTACAGCTATTATGCCTATATATATAGATATGTGTGTGTGTGTGTGTGTGTGTGTGTGTGTGTGTGTGTGTGTAGAGTAATAGCTGTAATATACAAAATTAAACAATATAATATTATATAGCTCTAACTATAGCTCTAATATATGCAACTAAACCATTCTAAAACATGTATTCAACATTTTGTAATTATACAATTTCATATAACATAATTATGTGTTCATCTTTTTTCCACAGATACCAGCAGATGGCAAAATTGTCAGTATAACATTATTGCGATATTAAAAGTCCGCTTTTTATTACATCTAAAACGAAATATAACAATTAGGTCAATATTATATTTTGCTATAAAAATGTAATAAAAAGCGGATATTTGAATATTGTCATAATATACTGAAGTATTTTTGTCATTTGATATCCACAAGATATCTGTAGAAATTAGCAAACAGCTATATTACGTAGGATATCATAATTGCAAGTTATTAGTTAGACTCACATACCATAGTATAGATATTATGTTAAACAGCAATCGCAGTAGTATTGTAACTATTAATAAGTCAAAATTATAACACATATATATATTTATTTATAAAAATATGTTACAACAATTAATATTAAATAAAAATTTGTTTCTTTGGTTAATATACTAAATGGTGCACATACATAATGGTGTTCGTAACAAAATATAAACATATGTATATAAAAGATAAATAAAGTGTTTTATCTACTTTGGTAGTAAAAAATAAACGAAAAACATCAAAGAACTATCAAAAATTATGGACACATATATGTAAAAGGAACACATATAAATGAAAAATATTATATTAATATTATTAATAAAACTATTAATAAAAATATTATATTAAATGATACTATCATTGTTAATCATGAGCCACCATTTCTCGAATTGTTTGCCTTGAAATCCGTACAGTCGCTTGTACAAGCCATTTCGATATATATTCCGCATAGTCGTTGTCTGTCATTGCGCTGTGGGATATACGAACAGCTTCTGAAATATATATCATTACCATATTATTATTATTTTTATCAAATTTTAAACAAGAATTAAATAGCAACTTGAATCTAAATAATGCCGTTATTTACAATATTGATCAAAATCATATTGCTTTACGGAGTAGAATAACACTTTTTTCTTTAAAATTCGTTCATTTTGTGTAAAAGCGAATCGAAATAGCTTACAGTCTAATCAATTTTCAAAGTGAAATCCGGGAAACTAAATAAATACCCAAGAGATATATAGTCTTATTGCTTACAACACCTGTTGCAGGGTGTAATCTACGTATATATTGTACTTATATAGGTCAACAAAATACAATTTCTGAGTATGGTGGTTCCAATGAGGCCTTTCAGAAAGGTTATAAGGCTCCGTCAGTTTCTCAACATACACATTTGTGTCATCTGCAACTTGACTAAATAAAATATAAAGGGACGAATTGTAATATTTTACGGAGTGAATTGCATTGCAAAACGAGATTTACATTGCCATTATATGTCGATAAGCGTTCTTTCTCGTTTGAGATGAAAATATGACTGCGATCTAGATCAGTTTGATCGAAAGACGTTACAATACGTCTTTGTTACAATAACCAAATGTATTTACATATCTCTTTTCTCCAGCTACGTAACAAACACTGTAAGGAGATTCTAACTTCCAGCTAGAGAGCCTCAAAGGGAGAGAGTGGCAAACTGATCACGTGACCAGGTCTCTGCTGATTCGATGGAGGTATAAGGTCTTCTTCACCAATTAGAATATTCCCATACAGCACAGCACCGTTGCAGCAACATTGCAGGAACGTTGTTTTGCAAGATTGCAACATTGCAGAAACGATGCGAAATGTTGCTGCAATGTTGCTGCAATCTTGCAGCAAAGGTAAAATGTCCGCTTGCAGTAATATTGCAATGAAATATTGCAATAACATTGCAGTGTAAGATTGCAGCAACATTTGTATTATAATTTGTATGCAATAATGCTTTATATATACAGGGTGTCTTAAAAATACCGGAACCCCCGGATAACTTTGCAAGATCAAATTTTCATGAAAAACTTTAAATATAAAAGTTGTAGAAAATCGAATAACGGACTTGATGGTGACCTTGAATTTAACCTTGACCATGACCTTCAAGGTCATTTGGAGGTGAACTTGCGTTTATTAAACAGGAACCTTTATTTTTTATTACACTGTTTTTTGTTACCAATTAATTTAAAGAACTTTTGTCTAAGCCATTTTTTTATTTGCCTAATGTTTTTTGAGATATTTGAGGAAAACTTTGCGTAGAGCTAACGAGAGGAACGAAAATGTCCTCTTCCATATAGCAATATCTCATATAATTTTTTAATAATATCCGCAATTTGAAGTGTTGCCACAACATTGCAGATATAATAATGCAAAATATTGTTTTTGCAACATCTCTGCAATATTGCACTGCAATGTGCAATGTTGCAACATTGCAGCAATATTGCTGCAATTGTCTGTGCTGTATGGATATTTTCCACTCTTTTAGCCGTCTTAGCGTCGAATTATTCTTCTTCTTAATAACAGTATGCTTCTATGTATACTCTTATACTTCACTTTCTATACTTTGCATAACGTATCATATACGTTTCGAGAGAAACGGATGGTATTACCCATTCGTTGCGTTGCGAATGATAATTTGCGTATACGTTTCACTACTTGCGACTGTCAAGAATACGGTTTTAGGGATTTCCATTGCGATTAGTCGAGACTTGCCATTTACGTATACGCAAGTAGTTCAAGAATAGGGCCCCTGACTTCGTTCTGTCTCTATTTACGGACCTTGGTCACCGGTATACCCAGTATACCCGTATTGCATTGTAAAAAGTTGGCATACGAACCAAAATTTAGCTTGCACAGGGCAGGTTGTTCCAACTCCTTGGTAAGCTAACTGATAGTTAAATCATATGTCTGTCTTTGTCTAAATTGAAAGAAAAACGAAGATCAACATATGGTTTAACTATCTAGTTGACCAAGCTTACCAAGAAGCTAAAAGAACCGGCCTACATTCCTATAAAACTTCATCCCTGTAGATAAAGTTGGTAACGTCATACGTACCGACAGTTGATAATCTCACAAAAGTGAGTCCATAGTGAGTAACGCAAATTGTCGCAAGGCCAAATGTTTTTAACGGTCTCGCAGATGCCCTTATCGAATACTCATGCAACTTTCGCGGCGCGGATTTGCACGACAGTTTTCCTCCAGTGTGAGAGAATATCGTACAGACATCCACGGATGTGAAAGTATCCGCGTCAAAGTACGTCCGACCTCACGCGGAAGATTCACAGAACATACCGTATGCTCGAAATTTACATTCATTTACAAATTATGTATTTCACACGTTAGAAATTACGCGTCTCCTTGCAGAGTGATGACCAAGTCTCCCGAAAGCTAGTGAAGAATCTCTCGGGTCGCACGTTTCTTCTTGCACCCACGTAGCACGCTAAAACGTGCCTCAGATGAATTAACGGTAAGCCGAAAAAGATCACGCAAACATATCTGATTCGTGCTTTTTTCCTCGCAGCTGTGCTTGACGAGTCCCCCTTGATAGAGAGAATTACGAGAGAGTATGAATCATCATAAACCGCGCGCGCGCGCGTTGCATATGCATTCTCAATCACGCACACAAGCGAGAAAGAGAGGAGAGAGAGGGGGGAGAGAGAGAGAAAGAAGTCGAGTCGAGCGAAAAACTTGGTCGCTCCTTGCGCGTGACGGAGTCGTGGGTCCGATATGCGCGATTAGTAGTGCGAATGAATGTGCGTATATCGCTGAGCGCGCAGCCAGGGAAAACACAATCTTGTAGTGTCCGCAAAGTCTGCGAATTTTTTCATCAAGACGTGTGTCATATTGTGCGTGGTCGTGTTGCGTATTGCGCAACGCGCGCAAAACTCGTGCGTCCCGTTAGCGCGGAAACGTACGGTGAGTTTTCTATAAATAGCGGTTTAGCATATTTCTCCTTGGTGGATTTGCGCACGCCAAGCGCTTAGATTGTTTCTCGACTTGTGTGAGGAGTAAGAGAGAGAGAGAGAGAGAGAGTGTGTGTGAAAAAGAGTGAGTGAGAGAGAAAGAGAGAGAAGATACGAGTAGTAGTAGTGTAGTAGTACATCGTAGATTCTTTCGAGATGCTGAACTATTCCGACAATCGGCTTTTTCACGAGTGTTATAGTCGTATCGTGCGAGGCTCGAACGAGGAAAGACGCTCTGCCGATGATTGGGCGGGTGTCAAAGGGAGAGCTATGTGAATGAGACTGCATTCGCGATCGGTCAGTGAATGATAAAACGTGGTCTTTCCATTTGCCGCGACGATTAAAGCTGATCTTGATGAGTGAGAGAGCGCGCGTTATCTTGGCCTATGTGTAAACTCCAACAGTTTGGGCGAAATCGTGTTTAAGTGGGGAGGAGAAAGACTAGAAATAGGAATCCAGTGTGGAAAGGACCGTGCGGGGCCGTGTCCCTCGGGGAGAGGATTATTTTTAGCCGTAGTTAGGCATATACTCGCCAGCAATTCTGTGTTGCTTTACTGAAAGTAAGATAAATAATCTTTGACCGTGTTAACCTATGACCAAATCGCGAAGTTAGTCTTCAGGGTTACGTAGCTACCTCGACACTTTGACTTACCTAACTCGCCTTGGTATATTTCGTTTCTTTACAGGAAAATGGAAAACGAGCAACATCACTATGAGCTGCGCAGCGGGAGCAGGTCACGTTCGCACACTCCCATGGTCCCAAACCGTCCTTTACCAGACTTGGAGGTAACAGAACATCATTATGATCTCAGAAATAGGAGTCGAGAAAGATCCCATACACCTGGAGAAGTAACGAGTAGCAGGAGATCTGGCTCCAGATCACTGTGAGTAGCTACTTCAAGTCTGAAAATATTTGGGCCATTAATATAAAATTACAGTGTCTGAAATATATATAACCAAGTTATATATTTATATATTAATTGCATTTTTATATATTTATATGTTGAATTTTTATTTGATTTAAACAATAGAACTGGAAGTAGTAGTAAAATGCATGAAAAGAACATGGAAACAATAGAGGAAAGCAAGGAAGGATCCGTGATAGAAAGCGTAACAGATAATCAGAGCACAAAGTCAGAGAGTTCAATTATAATCCCAAGGAAGGCTGAGCGACGGTCAGAGCGCCAAAGAGCTAAGCGGCAAATATTTGTCAATGGTCAGAGTGAAAGTAAGGAGGACATATCTGATCAGAAGATTGAGCTGAAGCGCAAAAGTATCACACCACGCAGGATACTTACTAGTGACTATTCATCTGAAGAGGGAGAAAGAGAAGATCTTCCGAGTAGACCAGGTTCTGCTTATGAGATTTACAAACAAGCTGGTGAATGGTGGAAGTATGTACATTTTGGATTTAATCATATGTCACATATTCTTTTAATTATATAAGAGAAAATTCATAATTTCTCTCACTAATTTGACTAACATGGCCAATATTTTTCTACCTGTTTCTACATCCTACTCAACTCTACGAATCTTATATTTTGAAGTTAAAATTCTTTTGCTGAAGAAGAAATGTTTGTAAACAATAATAACTCCAATTGTTGATATTGATAACTTTGAGATTAGTTAAAAGAGATCAAATAATAGGGAGAGTGTAAAAAATGCAGGAAGCTTGTATTTACAAATGATTATCTGAACGTTTGAATATGTTTGAATTGTTTCAGCGTCTTTCCAAAAACAGACTATACATATTCGCAAGCATCACAATGCCGTTATGAAATAGCTCCTGGTGTGCTAGCGATGCCTAACATGTCTAGACGACCTATACACATGGATGACAGTGGAAATAATTTCATATCTCAAAATTCCAGTCAAGCTTCACGAAGAACAACAGAAAGTGGATTCAGCGACACTGTGGACACTGTTGATTTGAAGGAAACAGGTTCCCTGCTCCGTTCAGTAAGCTCGTTTACTGCAGTATATTATTATATCGTTTTCTGTTGATAACATTTTCGTATATTTGTATCGTAAACTATGATTTTATTTCTTAAATCTTATAGTCCGAAGATATTTTGCGTATGCATACATCAGATTCTGCAAGAAGATCGACTATGTATAAAAAAACACATGTAGAACAATATATGAGTCACAAGGAAGTAGTTTATACCGATTCTGGAAGTCCGAGTCTTCGGCAAAGGTTTTATATACTTTGTTTAATTTTTAAAACAATTGAAACTTATTGCAAAAAGAAGAAGGTGGAATAATGATGTTTCCCAACAGATATTCTTGGTTTAGTACTCCTCCAAAATATACTGATATATATAACACATCTCAATATGATTCTGATATTGACTTTGATGGAGCTGTAACATCGTCAATGGCTAAGACTAACCAAAGATGGAAAATCGTGCAGTGGTTCACATATTTCACAACTTTCGTTGCCGTATGGTTCAGGAAGACCGTCGAATTCCTCAAGTTTCGTAACGATAAGAGAAACATATATCATGATGCACAAACTTATCGCTATTTTCAAGGTACAATCGATATTTAATAATATTAAATATAATGATATATATGAACTTTACACAGCTGAATATTTTATGATTTTCCATAATATAATTCTTTATTATATTAATTTTAATATTAAGAAGATATAAAACAGCAACTACAGATTTTTTTTTTTTTATTACCTAGAATCTAAATGGAGCACATTGCAGAAAACGGTGGAACGTTATCTACGCAACATATATTTCTTCATCGCCAGATTATTTCTTTTTGATGCTTGGCTGCTGAGCCAGTTTACCGGCGTTAGGAAATGGCTGCAAGAAAGAACACCGAAGATTTTTTGGATTGCTCTTATACCGCTATTCCTGCTTGGTGAGTCTTCAACTGTGTTGCTCAAGAAATTTGCATACCAAATAAAAACGAGAAAAAATGTGAAAGAAAACTAAGCGACTCCGGACTCCGTTTTCACTGATCCATACGATATCTAAACCAATCATCCAATCACAAGACCAATGTCGTTCACGGGACAGCACAAGAAAGGCGCGCAAACCTACCCTGGCCTTCGTCTTCTTTTTGTTTCAGGGGCTTACATCGCGCAGGAGTATTTCTTTACCTGCGTGGACGCTCTGCGCAATGTCCAAAACGGTGTCACTGAGACGACTTATCACATCTTTAACGATATTCCTACCAACCTAACATCTCTTGACTATGAGTTATTCACAAAATACATTGCAAATCTTAAAAATTACACCATGCACCTTTTACCCAGTGTGAACGTGTCTTTGCCTGAAATGCCTCCCATTGGATGGAACATAACGTGGTGATTAATTGAAAAACTGGTTTAGGAGATATAGCAATATATAATCACAAAGAAAAAAAATATATATATATATACATACATATCTTATAAAGCATATCTTTTTTAATTCAAGTGAAATGGATGGAGGTGGTATTGAACGTTTATATCTTTTCGTAATGACCAAAGTAGTTTAATGTGATATATCGCATAGGACTGTAAAGCTGTTTATCCAAAAATCGTCATCATATAATTCGATTATACAATGGGAAGCGATTATTAAGTATATGATGGGAAGCAATTATTTTTGTAAACATGCCTCAACTTTTATCGTATGACGTGTACCTCTTTCGTCCATTTATCCTTTAAATTAATATTCGAATGTGATTGCTAATCATTGTATTTTCTTTGGTTTGCTCGATGACAAAGGCAGTATATAGTAATATCATTGTTTTATAATCACAAAGTTTCAATAGTTATCTGAATTTAAATTACCTACTTGTGGTTTTTCACAAATCACATGCAATTGAATGTAGTTTCTGTCAATATCAATTAAGAAATATGGTGCTAATACATTTTTTAAAGATTCTATTTTTGTGATTTTTATATTTTGTGCATTTGAATCAGTTAACAAAATATCTTCTATATACATGTACCAATGTTACTGTCAGTTAACGCTTTATTATTGTTTTGTTGTACTAATGAACTAATATGTAATGTTGTGTGAAGATATATTTATATCTATATGTTATACTTCTCTATATATTCTCTATATATACATATAATTATATTTATACATCTATACACTATTTTAGGATATAGCTGATCATACTAGTTCACATCGAATAGTCATTTTTCTGTTATACATGTCGTATATATTCTATAAGATATTTTATGTCTACTACACACAAATAAACACAAGTGTGTTTAATTCGTTTTTACTTAATGGAAATCACACGCAATTCATAAGCAATTGATCATTGTAGAATCGGATGCAATTTACCATTTTTTTCAGTTAACCACCACATTTGCTATTTTCTTTCTTTTTTTATAAATTTTAAAGATATAATAATGCGATAATATGATAATATATATTTTGGTATAATAACTGTAATAACTGTCGAGATAAAGCTGTCGTTAAATTAATATGTCTGTATTATACAAAAAGCACGTTCATGCTTAATAAAATATTTTTCATGTGTACGGTATTAGTAGTCCCTCAACGAAAACAAAGTCCGTTAGAGTGATATAGCGTCATAGTGTCACGAGACCGAATATTTCTTTTCTTTTACTCCAATCTCTGTAAAAAGCGAAAAGTAAAATTTTACGATGGGAGAAGGATAGAAGGAGGATCACTCTACTGGGTGTTAAAATGTCGGAGTGTGTTGTGTGCTTGAGAAACGTGGAACGGTGATTGCGATCAATCGTCATCGAAACGGTGAGTTCCTTCGTCTGTCCTTCTCTCAGTTACCATATTGTATAATAGTTGTACAATAGTTCCATTGAACAAATTGCATTATAGTTACGCCGTGCAATCGGTGTACCTGCCATGGAAATCTAAGATGTCACACCTTTGATCATAAATTGAGCAATTGGACAATCAGTTGGTATTGCATTTTGTATTGTAACACTGTATCTCAATACAGTAACAGGAGAAGGAGATCAGATTTCTTTCAACACCGCAAGTATTCGCAAGTATTTATAAATAATATGAAATGCATTCCAGGTTGTTGGTGCATGGCAGAATATTTATCACTTTTTCCTGCCATTACCAATGTGCCAGAGACAACGACGGAAAAAGTATTACCTAATATACAATGGAAGAACCGTGAGAGTAGGAAAGTTGGAGAGAAATTGGTTGATAACGATGGGACCTTGATCGATAGGGTAGCGACGCTCGAAAAGGAACAAATATATCAGATGGTACAAATTGATACTTTCACATTTACTTCACTTTTACATCTTGTTTGATAGTCTACTTCAAATTTGCATACGTATGTGCAGGAATACCTCATGAACGTTACTCAAATTTTGGAGGACTACAAACGGAGCGACGTTGATTTTCAAAAAAAATACAACGTAAGTCAAACATTTTATTATTGTTTCTTGATGAGAAAGAGACCAAAGTACTGACGGTTTAAACGATTGTTATGAGGCAGTTTTACGAATTCTCCGATATTCCTTTCAGGACAAAATCACCCATGTAGCAAATAAACTGGATATTAGTGAATTGAGCAACGTACTGAACAATGAACTAAAAATCATTAGACACGAATTTGAGAAACTGCATAATCTGTACGCGGAGTTGAAATCTTGTTGTAATGCTAACAAAGAGGTAATCGCGAATGTGGACACCGAGGAACACGTGGAGAAGATTTTATCCGGCTATTTCCCACCTGGAACTTCGAAGGAGGATTTGGCGAAGAACATTCAGAGGATACTCGCGTCTCGTGGCGGAGCAGGTTTGACGATGAGATGAGAATCTCGTAAATCTTCTAAAATAACATTAGATCTGTTCCTTGTAGCTGAATTAGGTCACGCTTTTTTTTCCTACGGAATAAACCAAGTATATCAGACGTTCGCTATTTGTATAGCGTTTTTTTTTTAATGAAAATTGTTTTAGCAAAGATGTAATATCGATAGTTTCCGAGAAATAAGGGATCGAACGAGGCTTTTCACCGAATATTAAGTTTTCGCTAAGCAAATGGATAATAAAATTATTTTGTCCGAACGGATTTTTTATTTTATGTTTGGCTTCAAACAATTTGTATTGTGTTGAAAATTGAAAAGTTACTACAAATAACAACCATTCTTTTTAAAAAAGCATTTTTTTCCAATGGAATACATTGGAAACGAATGGAACAACGTTCTAATGCAGCATTGATGTACTTAAAGAAAACAGATCTACTATTTATCGCGTTTAAAGAAATACTGAGCAGCAAAAGCAATTCTATACAACTAAACAAAAAAATATTAATGAAAGCTGCATTAAATCGATATCTAGCATCCCTTCAAATTCGAATTTCATAAACCTGCTTTTGCTATTGTACATTACTGAGTGACAATAGATATTATGCATACATCTACAGATCGGGCGGTCTTGAGCAACAATGCCGACGATACGAGTGTTTCCATCTCGGAGGAGCACGTTCGCAAGATAGTGAAGGAGATCCTACGGATATATGATGCGGACAAAACGGGTCAAGTAGATTATGCTCTGGAGTCGGCAGGTATTGTAATCTGGTCGACCAGTGTCCAGTGTAGCGACTACAGCAAGCGATCGATAGTATAAATAGAAGAGCATGTCACGCGTTTGCAGGTGGTCAGATTATTAGTACGCGGTGCACCCAGAGATACGACATAAAGTCCCGAGCCTTCAGCCTATTCGGCTTCACGCTGTACTACGAGAGCAATAACCCACGGACGGTGATACAAGGGAACGCGCTGCAACCCGGTGCCTGTTGGGCGTTCCAAGATTTCCCCGGATACCTCCTAATACAATTGCGCTGCGTTATTTACGTAACCGGTTTTACTTTGGAACACGTTTCCAGTCTGATCTTGCCGAACGAGAACATGTCGAGCGCGCCCAAAAAGTTCGACGTTTGGGTACGTAGAATTATCGTTCTTGCCTGCCAGAGCGTCTCTGTTCTTTACAGGACAGTTCTACATTGACATGTCCTAGTTTGAAGTTATAACTTAGGCGTTATATCTTCATCGCTTTTATCTATTTATCTTTGTTCTTCTTCCCAGGGTTTGACAGACGAGAATGATCCTGAGCCTATGAGGTTCGGTGACTATGAATTTACATATTCCGAAGACAACTTGCAGTATTTCCCGGTGCAGGTAAAATTACTTGAATTTATTGATAAGAGTAATCTCCAGGGTGCCAACATTATCGAACAAATTCGTCATGATCTTGCGAGCTTTGACGAGAAAAGTAACTCGTTATCGTTAAGAAGTAAAGAATTATTACAATTTTCATTATTTCATTATTACACCAGATTTTGTTGTAGACCTTTTCTAGTATTTGCTTCTGTCTATTTTTCGCACACATGTTTTCTACGTGTGCAAAATACAAGTGTAGAAGTAACGTCGATCTTTTGTTACCGTTAGTAATAAAAAAGGGATAACATCCCAAACCAAAAATTTAATGTTAACTCAATGTTTACTTAAAAAAGTAACGGTAAAGGACAAGTTACTTTTCTCAGTTCTGCTTATCATTGTCATTTTATCGTCATGAATAGAATTTTTACACGTTATTAACGTTGCAACAATCTACTATTTCTCACACAGAATACGGAGATCAAGAGACCGTATGAATTCATTGAATTGAGGATACACAGCAATCACGGGCAGCTGGACTACACGTGTCTGTATAGGTTCCGCGTCCATGGGAGACCGGCTTAGAGATATCACTCTGATAACGCGTGATAAGGTTCCTTATTTATAAGAACGTTCGAGCAAATTCTTTAGCGAACGAATCACACAATTGTCCTTTGATATGTGCCTTCAACTACCGTTTAATATTTTGAGCTTTAGCTCGACATCCGGTGTGACTTACTCCTAGCACCTGCATCTGTATGTGAATTAGATTAAATATTTAACATTTTTGTAACAAGTAAAACCGCCGTAAAACACGAGCAATAAATCGCCGACATCCGAATGCTTACGCGTACGACGGTATCTTTCGCCGTTACGGCTGTTACCGATGAAAACGCACCGAAACGCTGTATGCACACTATAAATTATGAATCAATACCGGTGCCGATAATTTATATTGATTTATACTGTTTGGCTAGGCTGCACAGTTAACCTGAGGGGATCGCGATTGCTAATGAGATTGTCGATGAATGTTGACCCGATGGTATATTCCAAAAATACCGCCTCTGTATAAATCGATGCCTGTATTATGGCCTTGCTAGTTTAGTTAAGTAAAGTGCATTAAAAGAAAGAAAAGAAAAGAAGCAGTCTTACGTAACTCTCGGTGCGAGAGAGAGAGAGAGAGAGAGAGAGAGAGAGAGAGAGAGAGAGAGAGGGAGAAGGAGGGAGGGAGAGAGAGGAAAATATAATTTTTGCAAAAATGTCTCGAGGAAGAAAGGGAGAGAAAATGTGTTCGAATGGTCATTTGTCACGTAACACCAATCCGGCAGCGTCTCACGTGTAAGACTGACACTTTAAAAGTTACCCCAAAGCAAAGTGTGAGTCATAATACTTGTAATAACGCGACAGTACAAATTCTAAGGAACAGTAATTAATTAATTACAGAGTTAAGGATCATATAGAATTAATTGATCGTAGTCTAAGCGCGTGTGCCACGCCGCGGGCGGTTTTCTTACGTCTTAAGTCGAATAAAACGTAAAAGCCTTTCCCTTGTGAGAGCTTAACGTTCTCGACGATGTGCGGCGCTAATATATCCCGATTGTGTACATATATTAGGTATATCTTCGATGAGTTTGTCGCATATGTTTTCCTCTTCAATCTCGGCTATTTTTACAACGACACGTTTTTACACGTTCTTTTAAATCGCGATGCGTGTTCACACTGCGACAACGCTGACGAATGCCCGGCAAAATCTATTTGTGACTACGATTTCGCCTGCGTATTCGAGAGCGAATATGCGCGTCTTTTGCTTCATAGTACTTAATGTCGTGAGAGATGCCGGTGGATTAAGCCGTTGAGAACACGCTCGATTTTAGCTACATCGAGAGATGCGACCGTTTTTACCATCCTCGTATGTGTTAATAGGATTTTTACATTTGCCAATAAAAAATCACATTACACTTAGCATGCTTCCGGGTTCTTTGTCAAGTCTGTTTTTAGTTTGGTTGAACTAGATTGCACTTTTTGTCTTTTGAATGAAGCTGGAGTATGATAAAATATGTAGAGTTTACGACTGAGCGGACTTTTATCGATTAATTGATAACTATTAATTCTTTTTTCTTTATGGCGTCACAACGCCACAGAGCCAATTGTCATTAACAAATGTCAATAATAAATGCAAGATCGATCAAAATCCACTTGGTAAGAAACGTTAATAATGTTGAAGATAAAAGGAACAAGATTTTAGTGCAGGGCAGCGAACATGTAACCTTTTCCCAGAAGCGGAAGCATATTATATGCAAAGTTATATAATCGCTAAAATCGTCGAGTTTGCGTGAAACTTTTCGCATTTCCACTCTTAAGAAGAAGTTCACATAATCTCTCGTTACCTAACACCAATTCAGCTAAGTAGAACAGGGAGTTGATCATGAATCTTTTCCTGTAGCATGAAAAGTTTAAAATTCAACTCGATAACATTTAGAAATATTCATTTTTCACAAGTTGATACCAGAAAACAAGGATCATCTCCTATGTTCAATACATATATATGCCTTAGTCACCAACAATACTATACTGACAATAATAATACTGAAGATCTTCAATTCTGGGAAAATTTTCGTGGAGACAAAGAGGCTTTGGGGGATCCGAAGATAATTGAAAAAATATCGACAATTTTTAGTTATTCAACACATACAAATACCCGATCGAAGAAGATTACATACAATTATATATATAAAATCATATGATATATAAATTACATATAATTATATATGATCCATGTACATAAATTTTGTCTTTACAGTCATATATGTAATCATATGAAATAATTATTGTCCACACTGGAAAAAACGTTGTTAAATGAAGAAAAGGAAATGGTTTCATTCAATTATATGTTTACATCACGGACATCACATAAATATAATCAATTACTTTCATTGTATTTTTGCACAACAGCATTTTTTCCTTGTGAATATACGTAATTATACATATGACCATATACAGACAAAATTCATGTATAATCATAAATAATCATAAATAATTATTTCTCGCCGAGAACTTGGTGAACATTTAGTGTGTGTAGTGTAGTGTGTAGTGTGTAGAATATTAATTTTATAGTTTACAACTATCTTGATGTTTGATTGTATATTGTACGTCCAGATCTATAACGAAGAGTATATTAGATATTTTTATGAAATTACAATTATCGTTATGTTGCGGTTATCTAATTATTGCATAATTAACGCTGATGTTTTTATATAAATTTACGGACAGGAAATCACACATAAAACATCGAAATTTCCGGTTACGCTAAATCGTTTTGTCTCGCCAGTCCGTGTCGGAATCGCAAAATTCGATCGCTCGGGAAGCAGTTTTCGAAGTTGCCGCTCGGAGCGTCGTGCGCATGCGCACGGCGCGGTGGCAACGTTTCTCGCGCGAGGTACGTCTCCAAACGTGTTCGATCGTTTATTGGGACGTCCGTTCTCGCGAACCGGCTCCGAACAATCCGGTTTTGCCGAATTTTCCGAATGTGTTCGAGAGTTAGCGTCTCGTGGCCGCGATGAACGCAGCGACGAGAACGCACGAGAGCGCGATCCTGCCGACACGTGTTCGTGCCATCGATCGTCTCTGAATTTTTCCCCTGGAAATCGACCCTGGACACGAAAGAACGTGCATTCGGCGACCGAAGGGGAGACCCGGTTTGCGCACCGCACCATCATCAGAGATCATCGCATTTTCGCAGAGAGAAGAGAAAAGAGCGAACGAGATAAAAACGTGAGAAGAGATACGAGGCGAAAGAGACGAAGGAGAAGAAACATCAAGAAGGGAAGCAGCCGAAGCGAACGGAAAAGAGAGAACATACATTGGACGAAGGGTGTGGCGCCCCCTTGCAGAGCCACGGCCCTGTGCGAAATCCGCCGCTAGTCGCAGGAAGCTCGAGCGGTGAGCCGCGGAGAGAGAGGCGGGAGGACGAGGTAGATTGGGAAGGACGTGGTTGGAGGGGGACCGTGGGGAGCTTCCGTTTATCTGCGAGGTCGAGAAGGCTGGTCGAGAGCGTTCGTTCGTCGACAGTGCTGTTGAAAAACACGATGAAAATGGCGTGGCAACCGCAGGAGGAAGGACTCAGGCAAATCCTCACGCTGCTCAAGGAGTCGCAGAGCCCGGACACAGCGACTCAACGGGCGGTGCAATTAGTATCCTTTTCTTGCGCTTGGCCTCGCGAGTGTGCACCCGTGCCTGTGTGTCGTGTTCGTTGTTGCAGTCGTCGCAGTCATCATCATCGTCATCGCCACCGTCGCCGCCGCTGTGCCGTCGCAGTCGCGGTCGCTCGCACTTACGTGGCTCCCATCAAAGTCAAAGGGACGCGCGCGCCTCGCGGTGTCCGCGGTGCTCGTGACCGTAATCGTAGTGCCGCTTTTTCTCTTCGTGCTTAATCGCGAGGATTCATTATGCGCGGACTCGGTCGCAGCGAGCAACGGCGGCGACTTGCTCGCTGCTCGCTCGCACGCCTGTCACGGCTTCTCGTTGCTGATCGAAATGCCGCGTTCGGGTCGCGCGACCCCCGGCTTCGTGTGCGCCTCTTGGTGAGAACGCGACTTGGAAATATGGTGACGACGCGTGCCCGCGGCCTGGCCGCGGTCGTCGCGCCGTTTCGTGCCGATTCCGACATCGCTCGCTCGGTCGCGCGCGGGGCTTGTTTTCCTAGGAGCGCGGCCCTCTCTGATCGATAGCTTTTGCGGGACTTTTCTACGCCGGGCCCGGGCGCTCGCGGACGCGCGCGCGAGTGAAACGCGTGCGAGTAAATCGATGCGAAGGATATATCGTCTCACGATGATAATGGTCGCGGTAATTTTGTCAGGGGGAAATATAGACCGACCTGTTTTCTTTCGGTGAGAAAAAAAATTGCACGGGGATTATTTAATACGCGTGTGTACTGCGTGCCGCTCGGCTATCCGCCATTTATTTTCTTTAACATTTGGCGGTATAGAAACTGGAAGAGCTGAATAAATTTCCAGATTTCAACAATTACCTAATTTTTGTTTTAACGAAACTCACATCGGAAGGTATGTTGATTGAATTTATAATTATACATTTGAAATATGTTTTTTGAGTTTTTCATCGTATATTATGTACACACACACATACACAATTGTATGAGAATCTGCATATTAAATAGCTAATGTGATTTTCTTTTTTGTCAAGATGAACCTACTAGGTCTCTGAGTGGACTGATATTGAAAAATAATGTGAAGACTCATTTCCATAAAATTATGCCAGAAGTCATAACTTTCATTAAGCAAGAATGTCTGTTGGCTGTGGGAGATCCATCACCTCTGATCCGTGCGACTGTTGGTATTTTGATCACTACTGTTGCATCAAAAGGTATGTTCTGCCTTAACATATACCTCGAGAAATACAGTTGTACAGTATCTCGATGGTGAAAATATTTTTGTGAATAGGTGAACTGACCACTTGGCCAGAATTATTGCCAGCATTGTGTCAAATGTTGGATTCAGAGGACTACAATGTGTGCGAGGGAGCATTCGGTGCTTTGCAGAAAATATGCGAAGACTCTACTGAAATATTAGATTCGGATGCCCTCAATCGCCCTCTGAACATCTTAATTCCAAAATTCCTCCATTTCTTTAGACACTCGAGTCCGAAAATTCGCTCCCATGCGATAGCATGTGTCAATCAGTTTATCATTCAACGTACGCAAGCGCTTATGATACATATAGACAGCTTCTTGGAGAATCTCTTCCACTTAGCTTCGGACGATGACTCTGAAGTCAGAAAGAATGTGTGCAGGTATTTGACTTGTGGACAATCTCATTCAGTTTTATTCTCTATTATTGCTATCACACCAGCTTTTATAACTTTATTAACTTTAATTGTTATATTTTATTGTTATCAATTACCTCACATTACCGCATAAGCTTATAATTTTTGAGATGATAATCTCTATGCTTGCAACAGGGCGCTAGTGATGTTGCTGGAAGTGCGAATTGATAGACTAATACCAAATATGCACTGTATAATAGAGTACATGCTAATGAGAACTCAGGATGCCGACGAGGGAGTCGCATTAGAAGCTTGTGAGTTTTGGTTGTCATTGGCAGAGCAACAAATCTGTAAAGAAGCTCTCGCACCACACCTGACACGACTAGTACCAATCTTAGTGAGTTTCCCCCTGTTTATCGTGAAAACAATTTAGTGTAGACATTTGTTTTGCATTTTTCGACCTTCATTGACTTACCGCTTTGTACCGCACAGGTGAGAGGTATGAAGTACTCGGAAATAGACATAATACTCCTCAAAGGGGACGTTGAGGAAGACGAAATGATACCAGACAGGGAGGAGGACATCCGACCGAGATTTCACAAATCAAAGACGCATCACTCGCATCATGCTAACATGAACAAGCACATCGATGAGAACGGCGATGACGAGGTATTGGACGTCGAGGACGACGATTCAACTCTTAGTGATTGGAATTTAAGGAAGTGCTCCGCCGCTGCATTAGATATGCTAGCAAATGTTTTCCGAGAAGATTTGTTGCCGGTTCTTGTACCGATCTTGAAGGAGACTCTTTTTCATCAATCTTGGGAAATCAAAGAATCTGGTATTTTGGCGTTAGGGGCTATTGCTGAAGGTATGCATGTTCTTCTTAGGACTTGTACATACATATTATCTTGGCGTAAATGGCGTAAATGTAAAACGTAATCTAAAGCTGAAGAACTAGTCGGAATGTTGCTTTAAAATTATCCTATTTAAAAGAAGTTTGTAACTAATTATTTTAAAGTAACTCTAAATTTCATTCCATTGGCAAAATTGCTAAAAACAATTTCTACTGACAACTTAATTTGTGTTGTTTCAAGTTAACGAAAAAAATTAAATAATTCTGCGTATGTTGGCAAAATAGAACAGTTAATATTCGACGAATAGCAATTTTTATTTTTAATTTGTGTTTTTTTTTCACGTTAACAACTTTGCTGGTTGAATTAATCGTTAATCAGCCGAATCAGTATTTGAAAAGAAATTATTCTTCTCATCAGTTATATCTTCTAAAGTGCGTAAGACTAAAGCAATATTTTTATTGGCTCTTCAGCTTAAGTTTACATCATATGTTTATGATTACGGCGATTTGTGTAAAACTCTTTAACACATTACAGACTGCACGTATTATAGATGCGTTGTTTATGTTTATACGAATGTTTGTGCGTTTCCAACAAACTCAAGATAAAACTCGCTTCAACCTTTTTTTTCTAACTATTTTCAAGTTTCCGATTGCAGAGAAAGTTTTTAAAGAAAGAGCAGCAATCTGTGCAATTGTTGCGATATTAAGTCTGTCTTTTTTAACTGAACTAGTACTTGCTTTTAGAATGACACAAGTATATAAGTTATGATTGAAAGGAAGAGCAATGAACTGGCATTAGTTCAGCAAGAAACAAAACAGACCTCTATAATCGAGCATTGAAATAGAGCAGATACAAGGTGGACCAAAGTAATCGTGCAGAATTTAATGCAAATGATTGGTTATAGGTTGTATGAGCGGCATGATTCCTCATTTGTCCGAGCTCATCCCTTATTTGATTAGCTGCCTTAGCGACAAAAAGGCTCTCGTGCGTGCCATAACTTGTTGGACATTAAGTCGCTACGCGCATTGGGTTTGCGCGCAGCCTCATGAGACACATCTGAAACCTTTGATGACTGAATTGCTCAAACGAGTTCTCGACAGCAATAAGCGTGTCCAGGAAGCTGCATGCTCTGCCTTCGCTACTTTAGAGGAAGAAGCCTGCACGGAATTGGTTCCTTATCTTGGATTCATTCTCCAAACGCTCGTCTTTGCCTTCGGTAAGAGCGCGATGGTGTAAAAATTCCCCGTTCCCCGTGACAAGGAACGTGTTTGAATTTTTATTTGGACGCAAAGAAATGGACCGTTCATGGTTGTCCTTATTCTCGCAGGTAAATACCAACATAAGAATCTTTTAATATTGTACGACGCGATTGGCACGCTCGCCGATTCTGTTGGTCACCATCTCAATAAGCCGGATTACATCAATCTTTTGATGCCACCGCTCATCAACAAGTGGAACGTACTGAAGGATGAGGATAAGGATTTATTCCCGTTGCTAGAATGTTTGTCGTCAGTAGCAACCGCGTTGCGCTCGGGTTTCTTACCCTATTGTGAACCTGTTTATAGGTATAAACTATGTATTCACTTACGCTAACGGGTGTTGTACTTTGCTTTGTTTCGTTATCGATGGAAGCACGTGCGTTAACTTGCAAAAGCCAGGCTCTTTATTATCTCATGTTCCTACGTTCGTCAATTGTGTGTCTCTAATAAGAGGAAGCCGTGACGCATGACCTTCGTCGATTCTTTTCGCGAGTACACAAAGCAGTTTGCGTGTCATGACCCCTTCTCATGACGAGCTTTCACTGTGTTTACTTGATTTCTATCTTCCATTCCGTCTTGCAGGCGGTGTGTGTCGCTGGTAGAACAGACGTTGAATCAACACATAGCAAGCACGCAGAGCCCCGACCAATTCGAAGCACCCGATAAGGATTTTATGATTGTTGCATTGGATCTTCTGAGCGGATTGGCAGAGGGTCTGGACGGTCACATGGAACGTTTAGTGATGAACAGTAACGTTATGCAATTGCTGTATCAGTGCATGCAAGATACTATGCCCGAAGTCAGACAAAGCAGCTTCGCCTTGTTAGGAGATCTCACTAAGGCCTGCTTTCAACATGTGCTCCCATGTATACGTGAGTACAGTCGCAAACTAGATTGCACTCGCATACGTGTGTATAACGCTAATCAATTGTGTTTCTACGTATTTAGCGGAATTTATGCCTATTCTCGGACAAAATTTGCATCCACAGTTCATATCAGTATGCAATAACGCGACGTGGGCGATCGGTGAAATATCGATAAAACTTGGTAAGTTTTCCAAGTGACACTTCCTCGTCATTTGATATTCCTCCTTTCTTTCTCTCCCTCTTTTTTTCTCTGTTTCTCCCTCTCTCTCTCTCTCTCTCTTTCTCTCTCTCTCTCTCTCTCTCTCTCTCTCTTCCTCCTTTTCTTTCTCTCTTTCTCGTTTGCCAGTCGATGAGGAAAAAACAAATTTTATTCTCATTTCTGTTTCTTGTCTCTTCCGCAGGGCCTGACACAAGCGCGTATATTCCATTAATTTTGACACAACTTATCGAAATAATTAATCGACCAGATACACCAAAAACACTGTTAGAAAATACCGGTGAGTCGTCAATTTAACTTTTATCTACATGCTACACACGCGCGCGCGCATACACACACACACACATACACACACACACACACACATATATATATATATAATTTATTTATATATATATATATCTCTCTCTCTCTCTCTCTTAGCGACGATATATATACCGTATATAATATACGGAGCATATATATTTAAAAACGAATAGAAGGCAATGTGTAGTGAGACTCGATACAACCAACAAGAATCTGTCGATTTCTATGTACATCGCTATCATTTGGCCGTGATACTTGAGAATTATACTCGGTCACAACTGTGTGCTCTTCGCACGCGTATCAGGATACGTCCGATTTGCAAAACTCGTGCTTTGAGAGCGCCCGCTAAAAAATTGTTAACGTATATTGCAATCGTCGATGTACGATGTTGTATGTAGACATTTATTTTTTTCTCTCTTCCTCTGAAGTATCTCTGATGACCAATCGAATGAGAATCTCCCCAGTATAATTTAGAGTATCTCACGGTAGATTCGGTGGTATACAATTTTTATCTCTAGGTGATATATATATATATATATATATGTATGTATATACATATATTGAAATAGATCTCTTTTTCTGGTTTTCGAGTAATTTTTTGAGCAAACGAAATACACAGTTCAGTGACTTGTTGACGTGGTTTATACGTAATCGCGATTGCACGTTTATATCGACAGGTTTATAAATAATTAGTACTTGTATATTGAACCTTGATTTAGTGGTGTGCGACTGCCTGTAGGCTTAAATATGTATATATATGTATATATATACATATATATACGTCTGTATGGCCATGTAAAAACATTGCAATACAGTATATGCATATATGTGTATATTATATATACTATGCTTGCATCTTTCTAAGCCCCAGACATCGTTTCGATTGGATTGTTTAATTGGCCTTTATATAAAGATCATAATTGCAAATTTTGTTTCGTGCTCCTCTTTATTGTTATATTATTTGTATACTAATACATTTATTTTATACATATATATATATATGTGTGTGTGTGTGTATATATATATATGTATATGTATGTATGTATGTATACACAAGTAGAAAGAGATCTCATTTGTGGTAACTGGCTCTTTTTATAAATCACATGGGCTCGCACGCTGCTATCTAATTTCGATTATTGTTTCAGCAGCTACAATAGCACGGTATTACCTATGTTTCATTGTCGGTATCTCATATGTTTCTCACCTGTGTTCTCACTGTTCTTCGATTAATTGTTAATGTTACTTGATTCTTGATTATTAATTGAGTGATTAATTATAATTGAAAGTTAATTATCACGGAAGTTTATAACGAGCGGAACATATATATTCGCCTGAGTTCGATCGTTGGTTCGCTATCAGTTTGTCTTATTGTTTGTGTTTCCGGTCACTTCACTACACTTCACTTGTCTACTTACCGAAACCGAAATGAAAATGAAACCGTAGCCATTACGATCGGTCGCCTAGGTTATGTGTGTCCCCACGACGTCGCCCCCATGTTACAGCAGTTTGTCCGACAGTGGTGTGTAAATTTCTTTATTATATTATATTCTATTAATTATATTATCTTTCTATTTTTATTAGCACTCTTTATTATTATACATTATTATATTCCCGATTCCTGAGTAAATTGCATCAGGGGCTGCTAAGAACTCTTGCGCAAGAACATACACACAGATTGCGAGCTATATCGCCAGACTTTACCGGAAAAGGGAACAGCTAGCAAAATTCTCCCTGTATTCACTCTCTATTAACGAGAGAAGAAGAAAATATCACATACATCGTAATGGGAATGCTCTCGCGAAACTTATCAGCATGGACTTGCTCAATGGTTTTTCGCAGTATTCGACATCCTATATTTGAATTCGTTATATGATATAATTCTAATCTTTAATTTTGCCACCATGCAAGTGTGTTATGATGGGCTCTCCTGTTTATCCGATTCAAGACCAGGATAGGTTTACATTTGTCACTTTTCGTCACGTCATCGCGATCTCTCTTTCTCTCCCTGCCCTCCTCTCCCCCTATCTCTCTCACTCTCTCCCTCTTTCTCTTTTTCTCTCTTCTTTCGCTCTCTTTGCGCGCGTTTAAGTCTATCTCATGAGCAAACGTACGATTTCTTTTTCTCCCGTGCGTATACTTGTACTCGTGTACATTTGTAGATAGTGACGGTCGAAATTTAACATTGCATGTTGGTAATTTGGCATCTTGATTAATACACGTCGAATCCGTTCAGTCCGATTATCTTTCGTCGACGATACGACATAATGATGTGTGTATCGTACCGTAAATGTCAAATGTAAACCCAGCCTTTAAAGACAGTAAGTGAAATATGACGCCAGTCATATCCCGGTAATTATACATAATAATACATTACATCAATATATTTTACACGTAGGCTAGGCTCCCTATCTCTCTTTTGAATCATACAATTCGGGATCGACGATTTGTGTAATTGCAAAATTGACATGTTTGCATACTTGCTGTTATCAATTCAGACGTAACTGATCTCTTAGAGTTATGAGAAAAGAAAGTTTCACTTGAAGTCGCATTGAAGACTGGCCTCACAGCAAGCCAATCGTTTTGCCAATCTCGTCAAATGTTATTCAAAGAGGAAAAGAAAAAAAAGAAAACATGACAGAATAAGAGAAAAGAATATATGTATGTGACTTGTGGGAATGTGCAAAAGTAAATGGCTAGTTGTCCAATTTTTGCCAGAGCCATGTTATATTATTATATCTCTATGTAACTGTATATATATTATACAATATCTCAATCTGAAGGAAGATACTTCGAACATTGTGACAAAGATGGTCGTTAGTTTGTGTGTGTGTGTGCGTCTTCGGATGCACGGAAAAGCGCGACATGTGATTACGATCCAAATCGGCTGAACAGCAATCAGCTGGAGCAATCGGCGCGTGGCGATTTCTTTCACTGATCGAAGCATCTTCCGCTTGGACAGGAGAAGTTAAACCCTCACTAATCACCCGTGTCGATGTGAATTTCAATCCAATAGGTGCACTTCGTTGCGAAGCATAAGAGATAACGAAGAGAAGGATTCCGCGTTCAGAGGTATGTGTCAAATGATCACTGTCAATCCGGCTGGCGTCGTCCCGGATTTCATCTTCTTCTGCGACGCTGTGGCGTCCTGGTCGACACCGAAGGAGGATCTAAAGGACATGTTTCAGAAGGTACGCCGACTGGCATCGTGAGATGCGAATTTAATCTCTTTAAGGCTGAAGTAATGTGAAATTTGAAAAAAGTGATTTAATTTTAAAGCGACACCTATATACAGGGTGTTAAATTTCAAACGTAATAGGTAAAAAATCTCGAAAACTATGAAAGATATCAAAAAAAAGCTAAAACACGTATTCTATGATTTCGAAGGGGAAAGAAAATGGCATTATCAATTTTTTATTTGGAGGGCATTTTCAAGATCAGTCAAGATCAGTTGAAGGTCAACTTAATTTTTTTAAATAGAAAGCCCAATTTTTTATTATATCTTCTTTTTCTACCAATTAATTTTAACAACTTTTGTCTGAAACATTTTTTTATTTGCCTAATATTTTTTGAAATATTTAAGGAAAACTTGATAACTTTTTCAACATTTAACTTACGATATCTCATTAACTATTCGTCGAAAGAAAAAATAGTATTAGACTTTTTTACTTTATTTACTATCAAGGATATATTACTATAATCGTGTCCTAACTTTTGTAATTTAATAATATATATATATATAAGTTCTGTCAATCATTCTATCACGAGATTCTCTTTTTTCTTGTGAGATCTTGCGGTGGATGTTTATTCATCTCCGCACCATCCGTTATAACTTATTGACAAATTTGAATTGAGAAAGAAAAAATGAACATATTTATAAAAGTACACACATGTTTCTATCCCTGAACGTGACGTTGCTGCAAAGTGAAAGGATTTCTTGAGGATCGATTGGGAGGAGGAGAATCGAAAAGAGTGAATACATTCGAGATGTATATAACTTGTTATTTATTTTTTCTTCCTTCTCTGTATTCAGATACTGCTCACATTCAAGAATCAAGTGGGTGCGGAAAACTGGAAACGTTTTGCCGATCAGTTTCCACCGCAGCTTAACGAGCGGCTGCATAATATGTACGGCGTCTGAGCAGCTCCGTCTAAAAGCGGTAAGTGAACAAATTACTTGATCAAAGACATACACACACACACATACTCACATGCACGTATGGAATAAATAAATATCGACTGTATCGCGCGCGCTCAATGTTATTCAAGGATATTACGTCTCTTTCAGAAGGCCGCTTAATGCAGCAGGCCGAACGGGGTTGGGCGGGAAACAATGGGCGGATGGGACGGGTGGGTGAAACCACGGCCTCTTCTCATCAACATCGTTGTCGTTACCGTATCGTCGTCGTCGTCGTCGTCGATGTTGTGTCCGTCGTCGTCGTCGTCGTCATGTTTTCGGGGAGGGTGATGAGAGAGATGCATGCGCTGTCTTCGGCCACAATATGGGAGCAACGAAGGCAGAAATACGCGTGATGGGGAGAAAAAGAAACAAAACAAGGGAGTAAAGAGGATCGAAGTAAAATGAGAACGACATGAGATAAGCATTGGCCGACAAGTTGAAAAACGCGTGGGTGGGCGGGGTGGGGTATCTTCTTTCGGGGTGGGAGGGAGGAATTTTGTGGTAATCATCGACCACAACTTACAAGAGGCGAGAGAGAGAGAGAGAGAGAGAGAGAGAAAGAGAGGAAAGCAAAGAGAAAAAGAACAAAAGGTATCGTATTGAAACAACGCTACGCAACGTATCGCACTCAGTGATACCTTAAAGTAGTGACATACATGCTCCGTTTCCATTAACGCTATCATAACACTGCGACAAGTGTTTGATTCTCGCGTATTGAAACGTGACAACACAAGAATGTGCTGGTGCAAACGGTCAACTTGTAGCCCAGCTCTAAAAAACGTAGATGGTAGAATACATAATATTATATTATCGAGAAACCAACTCTCGCGCGCACACACACACACACGCGCACACACACACATACACACACACACACACACACGCACACATACACATACACACACATTGAGATGATTAGACGATGTTTAAGAGGTAAGCATAGATCTCACGTTATAGAGATCGCCGGACACTGTGATCGAAAATTTGTACGTATTAGATATCGATCTTTTCTTCTCTTCTTTTTTCTTAAGAGGGAGAGAGTGGGAAAGGATATGAGGGAGGAGAGAGAGAGAAAGAGAGAAGAGAGAGAGAGAGAGAGAGGATACGAGGAAGAGAAAGAGAGATCGAGAGAAAGATGGTGAACGAGATATGAGCATTCTACTTGAATGTGTTTGTAGAATTTTAGAGTCAAGCTAGTAATTACACTTATTTGATAAAGATACAAAGTTAGAGTATGTTATATAGAAATTTCGTAGTGTACAGAAGGTTTTTCGAGAATATTGTATTTTTATACGTTGAAGAACACACACACAAAGAGATACGCAGAAAGTGCCATTCCGTCGTCGTCTTTAACCAAAATTTTTCTGCTTATTTTATTCTTCTTACTGATTGTGATATTAGGTTATGTGATAACTCTTTGTCATCATATAAAACATTTGAAATATATATTATATATATATGTACGTACGTATGTATGCGCGCGCGCGTTTATGCACGCATAAACGCGTGTGTTGCGCGCGCGCGCGCGCGTATACGCAAGTTATGCTATATGTACGTGTATCCAACATGATATTTTAACTCACAGACCATTTTGTGATCACTTTTTTGTTAAACATATTAAAATTAGTATCATATTAGCATTAGTGTAAATAGGTAAATACATTTTAGAATGGACGTTTTTGTTATCAATTATAGATATCAAATCCTTGTTTATATGTGTATATATACTTAAATATATATATATATACATATAAATATATATATATCTCTCAAGTCTCTCGAGTTGTGACATTGTTCAATCACAGTCATCGGTAATGATTAACAGATACGATCCACAGAGTCACGGATCTATGACGTGAAATCTATGGCGACGTTAACTTTTATTTATGCGGTAAAATGATCTCGATGTTTCATCTTCGAAGAAAATATTGCGTTAAAATTGAAAAAAAAAATGAAAAAAGAAAAAACATTTTTACGAAGAAGAAAGAGAAGTCGAGTGCGGATCACGTGTCATTCCAGTCCCAATTGGGCCAATTTACGAAAAACGAACACTTTCATGATACGCGATTGCGCGTATTTTTATCTCGATCGTTACTTAAAAGATAGCAAACGAAGACAAGAGAAAAAAAGAGGAAAAAAAATTCTTTCGAACCTAACGTTATGACAAAACAAAACAAAAAAACAAAGAAAGAAAAATGAAAGGAAGACTATCACACCGACTGTCAACAATTGAGTACGTACACATATACCTCCGAAAGCGACTTCTAAGTAGTTTTACGATGTGAGGACGAGAGAAATCATGTTTTAATTTTCACTCTCACATAATTAAGTAAGGGAGAAGGAGAAAGATACACGCAAGTACACGCAAAGGACAAAGCTCAATATGAAGAACAGGGAGATTACAAAAACAGAAAAAAGATGAGGGAAGGTACTGACCATCGCTGTTGTCAATCAAATTCTGAAGTTTATCAATAAAATAATCAAGTAACTGGCGAGAACAACCGGGCGCAGGCGAGATAGACATTTTTGGAAAAAAAAAAAAAATTATATTTCTTCGATTTTAAGAAGAGATTAGAACAAAAAAAGGAGAGGGAGAGAGAAAAAGCGAGCGAGCTTACGTCCTCATGATGCGAGCTTCACTTCATCTCATTTCACGGACAAAACAAATGATCGAATCCACGCATCAGGTTCGTTTTAGACGATCTATAGACGATCCGCGACGGCAGACGCGGAACAGAATTCTATTTGCGATTTCTCTTTTCACATAACGACATTGTAACAGAAAACGTTCGAAGATTCATATATATATATATATATATATATATATATATATGTGTGTGTGTGTGTGTGTGTGTGTACTTTACATACATACCTAGATAGTAACACATAGATAGATGTAATTCTAGACCATTTATAGATGTATATTTCTCTCATTCTGCAATTATATATAAATAAAAATCACAATTTTATAAAATGAAGCAAAATTACAGATAGAATTCTGCTGCAATTTCCAAGGTCGTCTAAAGCGCTCTCTTTGTAATAACGAATATATCTTCGCAACGCGGCGACAGAGCGACTGGTGACTCTCTCCTATATTTCGTTTTTCTCTCTGTCGTCGTTTATCGAGTAAGAGGGGATAATTTCGCTGCTTTCTTCTCTTTTGCTTTTTACGGTTTACACACGACAAAATAACGATCTCTCTCTACGGAGAGAGCAAGAGATCTTCCTGTGTGACGCAGGACGCGAATCTATCGTGACCGCTCCTTGACTTAATCCACTCGTTCGTCAACTCGGCAATATATCTAAATAAGTATTTACGTGTATATTGTCGTAACTATATCCCTAAACTTGGCCCCTTTCCTTGCCCTGCCTGCGCGCCATTTTTGTGATATTACTGTTTTTTATATTACTTAAGGGCTTGGAGGAGAAAAAAAACGGAGGAAGAAAATAGAGCTCGAGCCACTCGACGTCACCTCGATGCGAGAGAGAAAGAAAGGAGGAGAGAATTCATCGTCACAACGAAGCGCGAGTGGATTTTATTTTCGTATATATACTATACCTTATATAATTTTTCCCCTCTACCGCGTATATATAATAATAAATATATATATATGTAAATATCTTCGTATATACGGAGTCGACGTCATTGATCGCGATCGCGTTGCCCCCATCGCTTCACTTCGAGTTACATTTAAGAATTTAATAGCGGGTTTAACGACGGAGTTATGTATCTTTCACCTCGATAGTTCCTAAGATAGATGAGAGATTTTGTCGGTGGTAATAATAATAATAATAATGATAATTGTAATTGTTCGTTGTCGATCTCAGGTTGCCGCGCGAAATTTCGTATCGTAATAGAATCTAGAATGTAATGTCGCGACTTCCCCCTTGCCCCTCCAGGTACGGTTGTAAATACGTTTATTTGACTTCGGTGTAGTTTCGAGTAACGCGAGTACGGACATAGCGGGTACAATTTTCGTCGCGATTCGTAGTCGGTCTTCACGCCAATGTCTCGACGGTGCGTTCTACAAAATATATACTTTTCTCTCGCCGAGGAGTCGTGTGGCTCGTGATTATTATACTCGAAGCTCTCAGTCTTGTACACATACATACACGCATGCACGCACACGCGCGCGCACACACACACGCATACACATATACATACGCGAGATAAGACAAGGTAGTAAATTTATAAATGATCGTATAGAGTATAACGACATATGAAGATGATCGTTGTCTCTATTTATACATAAATATTAAATATTACAATTGTGAGAAATGAAGAGAGCGAGAGAGAGAGAGAGAGAGAAAGAGGAAAAAACATTGATCGATACCTGAGAAAATTTCCATTTCTTTTTTCTATCGCCACGAGTATGAGAGTAGCGCGAAGAAGCATACGTGTGAGAATCACACAACGGGACGATCGCAAACGAGGGCTAAAAAAGAAAGATAAAAGGAAGAGAGAATAGAAAATTCCAAAAGAAGAGAGAGAGAGAATAATATGAATATATGAGTTACAAATGAAGCGTAATAGAGCGATGTCGAATCGATAGCGACAGGACTCATGAAGTAAAGTATATTGTTGTATCTTTATTGTTGTTGTTGCATGAGACTAGCGTAAATAGACTGAGCCATACACGTGGTTAAATAACTATTAACATAATGATTCTTAATTAATACGCTATATTATTGTAATTATATATTATATACGGTGTGTATTATATTTATAATCGCGTAACGAGTCCGTGCGGGCAGCGTTTGGAGCCAGGTTCCTGTCCTTTGAGAATTATCATCGTTCACCCCTTCACCCTTTGATCGCGCATAGTAGAGTCCTCCGAGGCAACCCTAAGAGAACCTCGATAAGTCGAGGTCGAGTAGCGTCTCCTTTTCGAGGGAACACGCTCTCTCGGATACGCGCGTGCCGTGTGATAACGTTCATATATACATTCAGGAACTGCGCGAGCATGTTCGCACACGGGTTTACGAATTCTTACGAGTGCTTGCAATTCGATCGTGATTAATCAATCGATTCATCAATATTCGGGTACAATCGGCAGATATCCTCCGGGTGACGACGGGCTTACCGAGCGTCGTCGTGGAAAAAGATTAGATTAAAATTAATATCTTAGATTTAGACTTTACAAATATTATCCATCGTCATCACGCTTCGTATTGTGAAAGAAACTATATTATAGATGTGTATATATATATAGCTATATACATAATATATTTCCCTCCCGTTTTGATCAAGAAGTGGCGAAGCGACAAATTGGGGCAAAATTTTCGACCAAGGAAGAAGAGAAGCAGAAGAATTGACCGTCTCAATCGGGTCGCAATTTAACGATTTTATCGGACGCTCAACTTCTCGATCGAACATCGACATCGTTTGAACCTCCCCTTCTCCTTCCCCCTTCGTCTCAAAGGATTGGAATTCTGTAACGGGGCTGTTCCTAGTACCTGATGATCCTATCCTTGCGGCACGAGAGCACAGTTCCGTCGAGCGAACACGCGCGGTTCAAAAAGATCTCTTTCGCTGTTGCGTCGTGTCTTTTTCTTCTTACATTTCTTCCCCTCTCCCTCCCTCTCTCTCTCTCTCTCTCTCTCACTCTCACTCTCACTCTCATTTGCCTCCATCTTCACTCTATTTTCTCTCGCAAGCGCCAGTGAATGTCCTCTGTCCAGTATTCGCACTCAGCATAGAGTACACATACACGGTGTTCTTTTTTTTTATTGTTGCATATTACCTTGACTGCCTAGTACTTAAGGATAATCTCTAGCGTTTCACGAGGATAAGCTACGTGGCACACGCCACGACCCACCGGCTCTTCTCTTCTTCTTTCTTCTCTCTCGCGTACTTGGCGCATGATTCAAATCGCGCACGACGGAGGAGAGAAACGAGTCGGCGAGTTGCGTCGTGTTTGCGCGGTCTCTCCTTGTAGAGATACGGTCGCATGTAAGTTTTTTCGCACGGATACTGAAAACAATGACTACATTTTTCTTCATTCTTTCCTACGAAAAATAGTCTTGTCAAGGTGCAACGAAAAGGTGCTGCCGCGATCTCGGATGAGCGAAAGAGACAGTTGCTTCGTGCATATACCTGTTTTGTATAATTCGAAGATCTCGAAGTGGCGCGTGACGAACGAATCAGCCGCACATGGAATGTTCGGTCATCCTCGATTTCCTTCATTTGAAACTTAACGTTAAACTCGGTTAAAGAAAGCTTCCTTGCTCAAAGACAGATTAGTGCGCGTAAATTTCGCGGCAATTTTACCGATCGATGCGTGAAGGTTGTTTCTTTATAATTTTTCTTTAATTAGAATTGCAAGAAAAGAGTATATCGCGAAACAACAATATGTTATGTAAAAAGTGATCTGAAAATTGAGAAGTAAAGTTTCAGGAAAATTATTCCATACAGTATACTTGCTCCGTAACAAAAAAATTGTAAAGCTCTATCATCGGTCGGCAACATTGCGAAGACGTGACAATTATAAAGATCAATCTGGGTTGCTATTCGACGTTAAAAAAATTTTTCTCAACACGCTCAAATTCTAATTACGTCAATAATGTAATATTATCAATTGACACGGTCGTTTGAAAATTCTTTCATTGAAGATAAATCCACGCAAACCCGTGAAAAGACATTAGACTCGTCGAGATTCCTTTGAACGTTCCATACACGGCTGAGCCGATCGTCACGACCGTTTAGAATCTACAATCACAATCGCACTGTAAATCCATCATCTAAGGCTGAGACTGTACGCCCGATATATCTATTTTATAGCCAGGCCAATTTATCATCTCATTACGAAATCGCAATCTCTTCTCCGTACACGAACTCGCGCTCTATTGTAATCGAGTTGGACGGCTTGACGGTACGATAAAACGTCACGTAAGCGCGTGCAAGTCGATTCGGATGTCGTCGAGGGTCCATCCGGCTTTTCCGAAGGGCAGA